AGTACACGCAGCACGACTACGCTGTGGCGCAGCTGGAGACCCTCAGCGCCTCCGCCATTGCAGGCATGCGCTACACGCCCACCTTTGGCATCTTCAGGGGGGGGCGCAAGGTGGACGAGGTGGTGGGCAAGGAGCCGCGGCGGCTGGAGGACCACCTGTGGCTGCACACAGACGACTGAGGCGCCCCGGCGAAGCGGTGATGGGCCACGGCCCAAAGGGGTTAAATAGCACACATGAAGAGGAGAGGCCGCCAGGGCGAGCCGGGTCGCAAACTCGACAAATTCAGGCGGCAGCGGCGCCGTCTGCGTCGCACTCTGGGCTGCAGCCCAGTCGCGGCGCTTTGTGTTTGGTAAAAAAGCCCAAGCGGGCAGCTGCCCCAGCCCGCACCCCTCGGTTGGAACCCTTGGGGGCTTCTTTGTGCACCGGCCTGTCATGCTACGTTGCGTACAGATCGCAAGGGCGGGCCTCCCCCCATCCTTGATTTGCAAAATGGGCCGGCTGGCCGTGTGCTGCTGGACTTGAGCGACTGCCGCAGCCAAGGCAGGGTCCTGCTGTTGTGCAGCTGGGCGGCTGTGCCTTGTGTCACAGCACTGCCAGCCTGGTACCCCCTTGATCCCACTGGGCTGCATAATCGCCTGGTTCTGCTCCCTGTCGCGCATCACATGGGATCGGGTGCAGAATTCCACACCGGAAACCCGGCCGATGCTGCAGCTGATTCCGTCGCCGGGCCTGGCACCCTCTGGAACCCACCACCCGGCTGAGCGGGCGCACAAACTGCTTTGCATCTGCTTGCACCTCCGTTCCCGCTAGCCGCGCTGGCGCGTGATCCGCCTACGGACGCCCCGCGTCAGGGCTTGTGATGGGACCGTGTTACCCATCTCAACAGGCAGACTGCCTTGCTTGGCGTGATGACGGCAGAGCGTGCGCGCTACATGGGAAGGGCGGCGCTGCGTGAATGCCGCCACTTTCAACAGAAATAAGCTGAAAAGACCGCATGAATCAAATAAGCTGAGCAAACCATGAAAGGAATGGCGCGCTGGCGGCAACCCTTGCAGGGTCGTGGGTGCCGGGCGCCGCAAGGCGCAGACTGTCATTGCAGGGGTGTGTATTGTGCGCGCGCCAGAGACGAGGTGGGCGGGGCGGCGCGGCGCGGCGGATTCCAGGGTCGGCTGTGGCGCCTTGAAGAGCAAGCAGGGCGGCGCAGCCCAAAATGCACGGGGTGGGCAGGCTGCGCCCGCTGTTCAGGTGTACAAGTGGCCGCGCATGGGGGGCCGCAGCGGGGTGGTCCCAGGGTAGATGCGAAGGCGCCGCTTGCCGATGTGCCTGGGCAGCGGCTGAGCACACGCAGGCGCTGTGCAGAGTGCGCGCGCGCAGTGTGGGTTGATAGCGAGCAGGCGACATATCTACAGGTTGGCAAGCACAACCTGGGCGCGAGCTGGGGTATGGTGGGGCGCTGTGTGTGGCGCGCTAGCGGGCCTTGAGGTGCGCCTTGCTGCTGTCGATGCCGTGCACCGCCGCGCGGTAGAGGTACCTTGGGAGTTGGATCGGACAGGGGGTGGATGTCGTGCAGGTCAGGAGGTGTGGGAGCTGATGCGAGTGAGGGCACGTTGAAGGGGGGGAGCGGAGGGCAGATGGAGAGCACAGCCTTCATGTCAGCAGGTTTCCATGCAGTTGTGTGACAGCGCGGCAATGGGAGGGTGGACGCCCTATTCAACAGCTGCGCCTTTTCATACTACAAAAAAAGGGCATAGTATGCCCCCAGCAAACACTCACCTGCCGCTGAACATATCAAGAAACGTGCTTGCGACTGCCAACAACCTGCTGCTCCACGGCTCTGCTGACTGCTTGGCGAGGCTGTCCTGCAGCCGCGGCTTGCTGCCATGCAGGTTACGCTGCTGCTGATGCCGCTCGCCCCACTCCTGCTGCTGCTGCTGCTCCAGCCGCCCCTCCTCGCCATCGTCCTGCGTCTGACACCGCCACCACGCAAACCAGGCCACAAACAATGACACAGCAACCAGCACGAACCGCATGGGGCACGCCATGACGGCTCTGCGGCGTGCGCCGCAGTCGTGCGGCGCACACGGTTGGGCTGCGCGTCACGCCCAGCGAGGCAGCGCAAACCGAAGGTGCTGGCGTAGCAACGAGGAAAAACCAACTTCAAGACACTGCAGCCCCAGGCGCTGTGGCCTCACGCCCGACCAAGCGACCAGCTGCAAGTGTGTCCGAGCAGGAGGTGCTCTCGTCGTTGAAGTGAGCTGTCGCCAAAGCGAGGAAACAAACAGCTGATGTTGCAAAACCTTGCAGGACAATCAGTGAGCGACTGCCCTTGGGCTCGGTCTGAAAGTGGCCGAGACCCGAGATTGACAGACTGGTGCGACGAACGAGGCTTGACCATGCGCGTATATATCAGATATAATTACCCATTTGAAATCTTGATCAAGTTGGAGTCGGGGCGCGCAGCTGCTGGCGCCGGGTGTTTCAGGGTGACGACATGCGAAGGTGGATGCTGAAGGGTGATGCTTGCGCGCCACCGCTGCAAACGCTCGAATGAGCGATCCTCACAAAATGCTGGTTGTGCATGTGTGGCCACTTGCCGTAGCTGTCGTAGGCACCGCCTGTACCCGCAACTCCTGTGTCAAGTGCCGCCAGCCACGGCCACCGCGATGGCACAGCCAAAGTCACATCCGGTCGAGTGCCATCCCGTGGTGACCCTAGCCATACTTTCCGATTGCATAGCCACGCTCTGTTCAACAACTTGAGTAGCTATACCAGTACAGTTTCATTAGATGGGAGCCAGTGGCGTATGCTTGTCTCTTCCCAAGCCCTCCCAGCCCGCCCGAGCGCCTGTGGCCCAGCTCCCCCACTCACTCGCATTGTTGCAGTGTGCATCTGTGCAGCACATTGGTGCCAAGTGAACCCCAACAGCATGCTTGTTTGCGGCAATGCTCGACCACTGAGTAGCCCCGTGCCTTCAATCAAGCGCTCCACGTGATGGTGGCACATGTAAGAAGTGAGCTCCCTGGGCATTGGGTGACTTGAAATGATGAAGCTGATCCCAAGGTATCTGGTACATGTGGGTCCAACACACTGTATTTTCAATCAACAGCAAGTGGAACAAGCGTAGAGCCGATTGTCGCGAACAAACGACAACTACAGTATCCCCTTGCACGCACCCTCCCCCCTTCCCGTGACAGCATGAAAGCTGCCCGGCTGTCGACCACCGCAGTTCGGAATGTCATGTACTAGCTGCCCCCTTCCTGCACCATGTGTGCCATAATTGGCCTCCTCAGCACAGCAGCCGCTGCACTTGCGTGAGCATGCTTCAATGACCCCAGCTGGCACTCCCTCCACATACTTGGAATGGACCCACTCGCTGCTCAGCTTCGCCACCCTGTCACTCACCCCAGCCAGCCGTGAGACAAGGCATTACGAGACATTGGACGCCGAGAAGCACGCACACACGCACGGCAGCGCAGGGGGGCTCGGGGACTGATCATGAGCAGGTGCGCGGGCGCCCTCCTTCATGGCAGGGTGGCCGGGAGTGCAGCCCCACCCAAGCGCCGACGATCGCCGCCGCGCCGTGTGGGCGGCCGCCCCTCCTCAAGCCGCTCCTGGAGGCGGGAAAGCCCTCCGCGCCAATGGAGTGCGCCAGTGGGGGTGCTGCGGGTGGGGCTCGCCGGCCCACCAGCAGGCTGGCCAGCAGACCATGGGGCTCAGTCAGCCCGGCTGCGTGCCGGATGAAAACGCCCCCTCCCCTCCCCCCCCCCCGCTCTGCTGACGGCGAGGTGGCCCGTAATGGCGACAAAGGGGATGCCAGCGGAACCTGACGTGTGCACGCAAACTAGATAGAGTGCGTCGCGGCTCGGAACATCAAGGGGGCGCGGCAGCTCTGAGGCCGCGGGGCCCTTGAGGAGAGCAGTGTGATGAAAATCCAAGCGCGAATTCGCGACGCCAAGGCAATGCGCTGGGACTCGGCAAAGGCGTTGAGCGTTTGGAGAAGGCAGGGAAGGTGCGTAATGTATGCGCTTCCGCCCCAAGAGCCGCCCTCCGGCGGGGACGGGGCCGTCAAACGAGGTGCGCGGCGGGCCTGCAGAGCGCGGGGTGGCGAGGTTGGCAGTGCTCGCCTGCTGCGCGTGCGGGGCCGCCAGCTGCCGCAGACCACTGAGCGTCGTCGGCAGAGAAAGCGCGGTGCATCCGGAGGAAGTAGCGATCGCCGCGCGCCCCAAATGCAAGTGCGGTACCCAAGAACGCGCGCCTCTGCAAAGCTCAAAGCGCGCATGCATGCGTGCGCGAACTTGGGGAGTGCCACGCCGATACCGGCGCCAGGCAATTCCTAGCGGCGGCAAATATCTAGGTCGCAAAGCGATGCTTGCGAGAGCACGCTTAATCTGAGGTGCGGCAGTGAATGGACCCCCAATCAGAGGGAACACGCGCGTCCTGCCCTGCTCAGAGGAGCCGTGACACACGCCGTTTTTTATCGTCCGACAGCATCCGCCGAAATCCCCCTGCTGCAATCGTTGTGACGCCAAGCCTGTGTTGCCCCTTGTGTGGTGTCAAGTGGCTTTCATGCATTCAAGGGTTTAAGGACGTGTGGTTGTCTGTCGCGTGAGCCCTACTGGCAACGCGCTACTCATGCATCAAGCTCTGGAAGAAGGGCAGCCAGCCCCGCAAGGCACTGCAGCCCCACGGCCACTCAGCTCCGCTGCGGCGTCTGTCAAGGCTCAACAAGGCACGCAGGAGAGGCTCGCGCATGGAGCCTGCCTGCGGGCGGCGACAGCGGCGCCGCCCGGCGGGCGCTGTCTGCTGAGCGTACGGAGCGTCGCCGCTGCCGCCGCCTAGGCCGTGCTGGGGTCCTGCAGTTTGTCGTGGAACGTCCTCATGATCACCTACAGGTCAGGGAGTTTGGGCGGCAACGGAGCGCAGCCAAGGGCGCATTTAGGAGGCAGTCAGGGGGCAGCAGTTGGGGGGGAGGGGGCAGCAGGCAATCAGGGGGCACAGCTAGGGGGCTGTTGGATTAGGATGGTTGCAATCGGGCGTGAGGAACGAGGCGCGTTTGTCAATGGTTCGGGGCTGCAAGGCTCCAAGGAAGTGCAGCAGGCAAAGCGGGACCAGGGGCTCGCAGCCTGGCAGCCCGCTGGTGGGAGCCACATCGCCTGACGCCTGCATAAATCCATAGGTGGCACCGCGCGGACAGCTGGTGGTGCGCCGCACTGCGTGGCTGGCCCTGTCCTGGTGTCTAACCCGCGGCTGCCCCATGGCCCCCGAGGCGCACCTCCTTCTGCTGCTCGCGCGTCAGCTTGGCAAAGTGCACCGCGTAGCCTGACACACGGATTGTCAGGTTGGGGTACCTGGGGGGGGGTGGGTGGGCACAGGTAGGGTGAGTTGAGTGAGGACCAGGTTGGTGGCTGAATCGTGGGACGCGATCGCCAGGGTGTTGGTTGGGGAGGGGGGGAGTGGCGAGCAGAGCTGCGGCCGGGCTGGTTTGCAGTGGGCCGCTGGCGCGCGGCGCGCGCAAGAGCGTGCAGGCTGGCGGCGCCCTGCTCCCCCGCCCAGGTACATGCGCCACCCAACAACAGTGCGCGAAGGTCAAGGGGGTCATTCCCTGACTGTCCCAGCCCAGCCACCCACTTCTCGGGGTGCTCCATGGCGTCCTCCAGCATCTCACGCGACAGGACCTGGGGTTTTTGCCAAGGGGGGGATCAACAGAATCCTGGGAATCGGGTTAGAAGGGAGAAGCACGAGTGCAAGACAAGAGTGAGGAGCGCTGGGCTGGTGACAGACTTTGCTGACCGCGTAGCGCAGTGCCACGCACTCCAAGCCCTCGAGGCTGCTGCCAGCAGCACAGTGTGCCGCAGAGTCCCTGGCTGCCCAACGCCTCTCCCCCATCCCCCCACCCTTGCACCCCTAGGCAGCCGGGCCCCTCTACCCCCTCACGTTGACGTTGATGTGGTGGCCGCCCTTCTGGAAGTAGCCGTCAAGCACGGCCGCCAGGTTGCGCGCACGGTCCGCCTCACCACCACGGCCCAGGATCTGGCGGTGAGAGGTGCAGGGTGTGAGAATGTGAGTGCCAGCGCGTGACTGCGTGCGTGTGTACGTGTGTGTGCAGGTGTTGATGCGTGTACATGTGCTTGCGCACAAGAGTGAACAGGAGCTGACATGATGTGGGCACCTGCTGCATGTCACGACGAATTGAGCAAATGGAGCAATGACGTTTCTTGAACAAAGCAGTTGCCTCGCGACGCAAACCCAACGGCCAACCCACCCCAAATGAATGGAAGGCCGCGCCGCACCTGTGGCACGAGGCTGAAGGTGTTGCTGATGCCGTCGAGGCAGTATACGTAGGGGATCTTGGCGACGCTGTTGAGGGATGCCAGGGCGCCGTGCTCGTCGCGGCCGTGGAGGGGGTTGGCGCCAGGCGCAAAGGGCTCGCCCCGCTTGCGGCCGTCAGGGGTGGAGCCCGTCTTCTTGCTGCGAGGGCAGGCGATCATTGTGGGGGACTTTGGTTTGTAAGCACAGGCGGGACCCTGTCGCGCCAATCGTGGGCGGCCGAGCGCAAAGCAGAGCTTGCAGGGCCCCTCGTGCCTCCAAGTGCTTGCAGCCTCGAGGCTACGCTGGCTTTTGGTGAACCAAGCGAGCAAATGCCAAGCCAGCGCTGACCCAACCCGACCCAGGCCACCCCATCAACGCGCCCCCCCCCCCAGCCCGCCTCACCCGTAGACCACGTTTGATGTGATGGTGAGCACGCTGAGCGTGGGCACGCTGTTGCGGTAGGTGGTCTGCTGCGCCAGCTTGTTGCTAAACTGCTGCGCCAGCCACGTGGCGATGGAGTCCACGCGGTCGTCGTCGTTGCCGTACTTGGGGAAGCTGCCCTCGGTCTGCACGTTGAGGTGGGATGCCCCATTAATTTGTTTTGCGTGGCGGGTGTGTGAGTGTCCAGTTCATACAGGGACGACAGGCCGGTTGGAAAGATGGGTCAAGTTCGGGGAGGGTAGGCGTGAGGCAAGCAAGGGGTGTCAGGCGCATAGATTCAAAGGCCGCGCTGGCAGCTGCAGTACAAGCCGCGGCTCACCCTGCCTTGCCCCGCATCCTCACTAGACCCGTCCAGTCAACCCTTGCTCGCGCAATCCCTCGCACCCTTGCCACCCCTGATGCCGGAATACGCTACCACCCCCTCCCACACTGAGGGACCCGTATGCGCGCGCATGTGCGAGCAACCGCAGCCGCACCTTGAAGTCAATGACGATGCCCCTCTCGTCCCTGACCGGCGTGACCTTGGCGTACTTGATGGCGCTCAGGCTGTCGGCCGTCACACTGAGGCCGCTGACGCCGAAGGCCAGCAGGCGCCTCACGTGGGTGTCGTGGAGCGCCATCTGGGGGCGGGTTGGACAGGGGGGCCGGGGACAGGGGGCGGCGAGGATGGTTACATAGGAGCGGGTATAGCTGGTGACGTCCCCCCTTGCTGCGTGAGCGTCCAGGCGAGAAGTGCGGCAGTCACGGTCCACGCGCCCGGCGCGTGCAGCTGGCTAATGACTTGGATGCGTCAGGCTGGGTGAGGGAGCGTGGTCGCCGCCCACCTGGAGGCGCTCGTAGTTGTACTTGTCGTGCATGAAGTGGATCACCTGGTGTATTTGATGGGGGCAGGGGGGGCGTACGTACGCAGTGTGACGGGGTGCTGGTGGTGCTGGCGTATGGCGCCAGTGCTTTTGCAAAGGCGGGTGGCGGGGTTCACGTTGGGTGTTCGTCGTTAGAGGGTAGGGATCAGACC